ACTCACACCAAATGAGTCTGTGTGGAGCAGCAGTAAAATGAGCCGCTCTGAGATGGAAAAACGTGTGTGAGCAGTGAGCACAGACCACGTGCCTGAACAATTCTGGAACTCTTCACTCTGAAACAGCACATCAAAATATTTTCAAATCACTAAGCCATATAGCGATTTCAATTTTGTGTCAATTTATTGTTTAGCATAATTTTAGCATTTTATAATGTGCATGGCAAATTACCAGCGCACTTTGAGGTCAAAATGCATACAGGTTGGCAGGTCTGCATTTGTTACAGTATGTATGAATCTTTGATAATGTTACTTAATAAAAATACAATCATTCATTGTGAGTTCATGTAAGCTCAGGTTCATTAAACAATATACATTTTTTGCTTTTAAAATGGATTAGTTCATTAACATTAACTAAGATTAATTGATGCTTTAAAGGAATTTTTTATTGTTAGTTCATGTTAACTAATGGAACCTTATTATAAAGTGTTACCAATTTTTTTTTAATGTTTTTTTAAAAGAAATGCACACCAAGGTTGCATTTATTTGATAAAAAAAAGTAGTAGAGTAGAAAAACAACAAAAACAGTAATATTGTCATATGTTATTAAAATAATCTTTTTTTATTTTTTGTTTTAATATATATTTAAAAGCAAATTTATTTTGAGTTTGGTGCTCAAGAAACATGTTGCTCTGCTTAATATTTTTGTGGAAACGGTGATTCTCTACTTTTTTTTCAGGATTCTTTGATTTGAAATACAAATCTTTTGTAACATTATAAATATCTTGACTGTCACTTTTGATCAAATAAATTAACTTGCTGAATAGAAGTATTAATTTCTTAAAATATGTATATTTGAAAAGTTATTATTTTGTCTTTCTGTTGCTTGTAATTTGGTATTTGTTCTTTACTTTATTGAATTTAATAAATATATGCTGCTTTTATGTTGATATTAAGTATGTTTTGTTAAACAGGCTAAGCATTTCTGCAAACACTGTAAACATGGATTTAATATTCATTATGAATGTGACATCAGTGGACTAACTAGATTAACGTGAGGAAGGACATCAGAGTCATTTCATCTGTATCTGTGAGGCATGAGAGCAGGGCTTTTATTTCTTTACACAATGACATTTGCTCATGCGAGAGCTGCTGACTCACTGAAGAAAACGGCACTGTCATCCACAGCTGCCTCTCCGACCAACGTCACATCTATTGTACTGCACCCATATGTGCAGCGCTTTATTTACTGTACTATAAATTATGCAGTATATCCATACAATGAGCTTGTTTAGTAAATCTGTCAAGCATCTCTACTTCAGTTAAAAGCTTTGTAAACTGGTGTGAATGGTGTAAAAACATTTTTAAAAAACATATATATATACAGTATATAAAGACTAGTATTTGTATGTATATATTATATTAAATATATTAACGGTCATTTGTGTTATTGTCAACCTATATGGGTTTTTCAATGGATGTTGTTGATATCATATTTTAATAATCAAAGGCTGTGAGATTTTGAAACGGACTCAAATTTACCAGTTTGGTCGATAAACAGTATCTGTTCTGTGGTTCAACTTCCCATAACAGAAAACAGTCCAGACACTCAGACTGAAATATAATTATTATTAGCTAGCTGATTTTATTTGACTTTGTGACCGGTAAACAACAAAAAGCATCTCTGCAGACTTCTGAAACACAACAAACGGGCTGATCGCAGATCTAACGAACAGATTCGTCAATAAATCGCTTCTTCCATTGATCATCTGTCAGTCAACTGTCTACTTTTAGCACAGAACTCCACTCAAACCAGTCACACACACACACACACACAACTGAAACCCTTAGCACTAAAGTAACACTTCTGGTTGAAAAAGCAACGATGTCATTGTTACGTGGCTGAAGCTGATGTAGTAGTACGAATATAATCCAGATTTTTATTACATCAATTTACTGCAAGTCACAAATCCTCTCCCGTGGCCTCATGGGATAGTGAAGTGTCCATCAGTATCCTGCTGGAAATAGTAGGTCATCCGGGTACTTTTTCCCTACTGTTTTTTGAAAATATGAATTCTGACATTTTGGCATACAGATTTTCACATACTATATTGTAGGGAAGTATAAGATTTCGTACAGGGAGAGTTTATATGGAGAGGGTGCTCGCTGCAGAGCCAAATGGGAGGAGCTGGAGCTCTAGCTCCCCCTCGCTGGATGTAATGGGTGGAGCTAGACACCCAACCACTCCCTAACCCTACCCCTTACCCTATCGCTAAACATAACTCCACCCATTAGTTCACACAGAGGTGGAGCTGGACATCCAGAGAGGGGGAGCTGGAGGTCATTTGGCTCTGCAGTGAGCAGTACTTGTTTATATGTGGCGTCGCTCCTGTTTGCCCCGCCCACTCTGAAATCTCATTGGTCCAAAATCACAACAACATAACTGTACATTACACATGAAATATCCTGATTGGCTATTATTTTATCCCGAAGCGCAGCATTTTCAACATAGACAAAGCAATTATTTGTTGCTGGAAACTTTCCATTGTTGCATGATTAGGACACGGTGTTACAGTAATACGAAATTTAATTTGACTAATTTTGCAAACATACATAATTTATCATATAGCCTAATAATAACTAAGTAGTGGAAACAAATCTAAATTTTTTATGCAACCCATATTTTTTTTTTCTTATTTCCAGGGTGAGATCTGAGCCGCACATGTGCATTGGCTGCAGCAGGTGACAAGTGCGTGAATGCACATCAGTAATGCACACTAGTGCTCGTGCCCTACCTGAGCGCCACCCGGACTGTGGTCTCGTCCTGTCCGCTCGACATGATTCAGATCTTCATCGATCGATGGATCGCACACCAATCCGATCAATCCTGTAAGTGCGCAGCAGCTTAAAGGCGGTGAGTGAGTGCTCGGCTCATGCACGCGTCGGCTCTGCCATGATCAAGGCGTTGATCTGCATGCAAGCGACGCGCTGCGGTCACGCGTGATCATTCGCTCATGCGTTCGGCCAAACTGCGATCCCGTGCGCGTCCCGATCTCATCTGATCTACACGCTCACTTCATGAAGTCCCAGCCGCAATGCGTCACCAAACCACGCCTCCTCGAGGACCCCTGGAGGGTGACGTCATCATACGCATGCAAATCAGTCTATTCGGCTTGTTATGATGAGACATAAAAGCAGTAGACTCTCGATTTTCCAGATTACTTTATATTGTGGATATATCTGCAGAGATGCAGTGATATGCTTATTTCATTTTTTGTCCTCTGAAGTCATTTCTGTTCAATTTATTGTGAACCTAATTATTTTATTTGGTATATTTAATACATAAAAGCAAATATGACAACCATATTTTAATAATACTAATACTACTTATAATAATAACTATATATATATATATATATATATATATATATATAACAGTAGAAATAATTTTGTCATTATTTTATTAATTTGATAAATATTGTATTATAAATAAATAGATGTAAATAAATATATATCCCACAGTAACTGTATCATTTTTGAGGGCTTTTTCATTGCTCTTCTGAGATAACATAAGCATAAAAAATAATTAAATTCAATGAAATAATAAAAAGATGCTCTGCATAGTTGCAAACTACAATTACACACAAAACTATTATTAATCACATAATTAATAATTTGTTGACTTACTATTAATTATTTGAGTTTGAGTAATAATAATAATAATAAATTAATAAAAGACGCTCAACATAATTGCAAACTATTGCAATTACACACAACTAATATTAATTACATTATTAAATACTATGAATTGTTTTGAAGTTTGAGTATATTTTCATTCATTAGTGGCTAGGCCTTTTTTTTTGTAAAACATACTCTAATAATCATCCTTATACTTTCTTAACTATAATATCAGTATCATTAGGTTCATAAATGTTTAGAGCAGTGCCAGAGGAAAAATATGTCAAAACTACTAAATAAGTAGAAAATTCACATCACAAATGAAGCTGCTTTATAATGCAAAATCATCATGTGATTCTACAATTTGATTATTTCCATGAAATGAATCTTCAAATCCACATACAAGGTCATCATTACTGCAACTGCAGCAGAAAAAAAAATTGAATAATAACATCAGTTGAGTTGACTTGATCTCTTATGTGGTGCAGTCTGAAAAATTCGTTTTTTTTTCCCCACACAACACAAAGTAGATTGAAGCTCTACTAAAATCTTTCGATTACAGCAGAAAATAATTTTAAAGGGGTCATATGATGCGATTTCAATTTTTCCTTTCTCTTTGGAGTGTTACAAGCTCTTGGTATGAAGCTGAAGTAATGGGAACAGTACACTGAAAAACTAAATAGTGTATGATTAAACTAATTACAAAGAAACCGCAAGTAACACACTGGATTAAACAGGATATGTTTAAGTAGAAAGGCTGAAATTGTATTTTTTTTTGTAAAACATACTCTAATAATCTTCCTTGTACTTTCTTAACTATAATATCAGTATCATTAGGTTCATAAATGTTTAGAGCAGTGCCAGAGGAAAAATATATCAAAACTACTAAATAAGTAGAAAATTCACATCACAAATGAAGCTGCTTTATAATGCAAAATCATCATGTGATTCTACACAAATATTCAGATGTGTGCAGCACATTTTATGGAGGACGAGGACGGTTTCCTGGGAGAGTAGCCTACAATGCTATAGGAGTCTGTTGCTATAAAGTGGAGCAGTTCCAACTTTGCAAGGACAGTCTGGTGCTTCTGACTCACAGACAGTAAGTACGTGTGCAGCGCATTTTATGGAGGACGAGGACGGTTTCCTGGGAGAGTAGCCTACAATGCTATAGGTGTCTGTTGCTATAAAGTGGAGCAGTTCCAACTTTGCAAGGACAGTCTGGTGCTTCTGACTCACAGACAGTAAGTACGTTTTTTGCCACTGACGATTCAAACGCGAGTTTTGAGCAGTGTAGAGTTTTTAGCTACGTCATATAGATTCATGCCTTTAACTTGTTCCCCAGTTTATAAAAATAAAAACAAATGATAAAGCAGTATGTAATCTTATTTGCAGTGTGGAAAAGAAACTCACTGACAGTGGATACTCACTGATATGTAGGAAATTCTGCTCTCTGGTTCCAAAGTCGCACAGTGCAGAGCTCCCAACTCCAAACGGGGCTAAAACATCAAACACTGCCAGCTTCATTCAACAATACCAGATCTACAACATCATCATCATCAGTCACCAGCACCATGAGCCCGCATCCTCAAACCACACCCACAAATCCACCTGAAGGAATAGTTCAGCCACAACTCTGCCATTATTTATTATCAGTTTGCTGCTATTTCTTTATTTTAACTAATTGTACTTATTTTATTAATAAAAAAACACATACATTTATATTTTGTACATATAACTTATATTTGTTTACAGTGCTTTTTTTGGTCCTTTTTGGAGCTTATAGCTCATGCTCACTATTAAACTGGTCACTGCATGGAAACAAAAACGTGGCATAGTTCACCCAAAAATGAAAATGCTGTCATCATTTACTCACCATCATGCACACACACACACACACTGAAGAAATGTATAAGAATGTTGGTAACTAAACAGTTTTGGGTCCCATTGACTTCCATAGTATTTTATGGAAGTCAGTGGGACCTGAAACCATTTGGTTACCAACATTCTTCAAAACATCTTTGCATACAGGTTTGGAATGACATGAGGTGAGTAAATGATGAAAAAATTTTCATTTTTGAGTGAACTATCCCTTTAAAACACACACACACACACACACACACACACACACACACACGCACGTTTAGAATGATATGAGGGGGACAGAATTTGTGGGTGAATTATTCCTTTAATTCCGGAGTCAGACAGCGTGTGTCTAAAAGGAATCTGAATGTGAGAATAAGAAAAAAGAACAGTTAAGGTTTTAAGGAGTGTTAATCATGACATTATTTTCACTTTTATGTGAAACATTCATTCAAAGTTTAGAATCAGAATTTCTACAAGATGAATGTACAACTCTATACACCATGAAAAGAACAATCTCTGTTTGTTCTGTCTCCCAATAGTTTAATAAAGTATATGCACATGGGTCGCACTCCAGAGCACTTATTTGGATAACAATCTCACTTCCTGATCTCATGAATCCAGACAGCCTTTACTTAAGTAAACAACGCATTTGTCTGTAACACTACTAATCTGTACATGTGCAAATACAATCACTGCAGAAATATAAAATGATCTTCATAAAATCTCATGTGCTTATCAAGCATCAGTGTAGTTAAATTGACACATTTACGTTTTTGAAACATGAGTCAACTAGAACGTTGAATCTCTGGAATGGGAACCACAGCATCCCTCACACCATGAATCATCTTCATCAGTATCTATTCATCATCAGTAACGTCTTCATCAGAGCGGTAGTTTCCTCCGTTTACCCGGATGTAATGAACGCTCTGACTGCCGCCAGCTCCACAGCTGCACAGCTGTCTCCCGAACAAAGGCTCGATCTCCTCCAGACGCAGACCCTTGGTCTCCGGCAGACAGCCCACCACAAACACAAAGCCCAGCAGAGCCAGACTGGAGTACAGGAAGAACGCACCTGGACAAAAGAGACATTCACACTGAAATAAATAAAAATTATACCATTTTCTCATTTTCTATAGACACATTTTGGCAATAGTCCATGTATAAATGTAGATAACGTTCTGATTATTTATTAGCTGATAATTGTTAAATTGTGGCCAACCAGCTTAGGCTGGCTTTTAGCTTTTTTTCCCACCGCAGGGAAGCATCATTACTACCATTAGGGTTAGTGATTTGAACAAACCCCTAAACCCCTAAAGTATTAAACATTGGTGAGTAAAGCATCATTTGTGCTATGGTTATAAATTATCCATGAACAACCACCTCGAACACCCTAGCAACCCCAAAACAATGCTCTATCGCCACTCAGAACACCCAAGGAACCACTCATAACAGTTTAATAACTGCATAGCAGCTCACCAAACACACTCAAAACACCTTTGTAACAACTCCCAGTAACTCCCTAGCAACCCTAGAGTGACACATTAGCAACCACCCAAACACCCCATCAAGTGCATTGTAACTACTCAAAACAACCTAAGAACTGAATGACAACATGCTCAAAACACCTTAGTAACCACCCACCTAGTATCAGAACCAATGACCCAAATGCTACGACTCGAACACTGTAGCAACCGCATAGCAACACCCTATCAACCACTCAGAACAACCAAGGAACCACCAGAACAACTAGAACACCCTAGCAATTCCCCTGCAACTGCAAAGCAACACGCAAGCAACCAACTGAACACCATATCAACAGCATAGCAACTACTCAAAACAACCTAGCAACTGCATGACAACAACTTTAGCAATGCTCTGGCATACACAGAGTAGTCTAGAAACCACCAAGAGCACCCAAGAAACCACTCAGAACAACTCTGCAACCACGTGACGACAAGCTTAAAAACCCTTTAGCAACCGTAGCAATGCCCTGGAAACTACCCAGAATGCCCAAGCAGCTACAATGCCCTAGAAAAACCTAGCAACCACATAGCACCATTCAATAGACACATTTCGGCAGTAGTCTACAGTCAGAATGGAATAGTCAAGCATTACTAATACTACTGAACAAACATAGGCATTGAACTTTACTATGTACAGAACAGAATTGTTTGTGTTATGAACATGAATGATCCACTAGCAACCCCAAAGCAACACCCTAGTAATAGGGCTGTGCAAACAATCAAATGCGATTTTCATGCACATCTCGTCAGTAAAGCCGGTTCTGTGATTAGTAGTAAATCTCCAGCACGTGCTTTCAGATGGAGCAGCATTTACTACACAGAGCCGTAGTTCACTGACAAGCTACGCAATATCGCGTTCATAATTGGCAATGAATTGCCTGCGATTTTGAACGCGATTTTGCGTAGCTTGTCAGTGAACTACGGCTCTGTGTAGTAAATGCCGCTCCATCTGAAAGCACGTGCTGGAGATTTACTACTAATCACAGAACCGGCTTTACTGACGAGATGCGCATGAAAATCACATTCGATTATTTGCACAGCCCTAGCTAGTAACCACTCAAATACTGTAGTAACCACATTTTAGCAACACACTATCAACCACTCTGAACACCCAAGCAACAACACAGAACAATCTAGTGAACTGCAGCCTACAAGTAACACCCACCAAACTATAACACCCTAGCAACCACATAACTCCCTAGCAACCGCAAAGCAACATGCTAGCAAACACCCGAACACTCACTGTACTCAGAACAACCTAGCAACTGCATGACAACATACTAACCACCTAACTAGAACCCCGTCAACTGTAAAGCAACACTCTAGCAACCACTCCAACACCCTATTGAATGCATAGCTATACAGAACAACCTTGCTGCATAGCAACCACCTAGCAACACCCTAGTGAGTACAAACAGCAGATTGTAGCTGCTGACGGAATCTGTACAGTACCTAAATACTGTTATGGTGATCAGTGTCGTGTGTGTGTACTGTGTTGTACCGTAGTATGTCAGGCACTGGGCCAAATGGAGGAAGGTCAGAGACACAAGGACGTTACAGATCCAGTTGACCCCCGCAGAGCATGCGTTCCCTGTGCTCCGAGCCCACAGCGGATAGATCTCAGAGTTCACCGTCCACGGCATAGGACCCATACCTGCTCCAACACACAACCCGACATCAGACATCAGGCTTTATGGTCATTAACAGTGACTTTAAGCTCCAGTGAACTGAGTGAATTCTCACCTGGGGCAAAGAAGGCCAGATACAGAATGAGACCCAGCAGAACAATCCAGGAGTAAGATGTTGGGCAGTAGTTATAGGCCCAGAATACACCTAAACTCTCCTGTGTGCCATTGGAACACCTCAATGAATATGAACAAGACGAGACTTAATGAAACATTTAGGTTAACATTTAGGTTAAAATTATATTTATAAATCATAAGCAAAGAAGTGCACTTTTGCATAATCCCCCCTCCTTATTATGGAAACTGACAGCTAGCGGTTGAAATGTATACTGCAGTCCAAATTAACAATATTGGACCTCCTCCTCAGACTCGACACTCATGCGGGTTGCCAGATTGAGGACACACAACAGGAACGAATGCAATTGACAATGGAAGGCAATGAGCTTTACGCTGTAAGTTGCAGAGTTGTTTTATCTGCATTTTAATATGATTTTGGTCAAAGAGCTTTTTATATGGATGCCGATGCTTTTTAGGTCGGGTAGAATCTGCGATCTCTGACCCAGTCTGGCTTTCATGGCTACAATACAATGTTTTTTCCACCAACTGGCAGGCAACCCGGGGTGTCGAAATACTATTGGGTAAACTGGCAGTGCGCGGAATCACACAGACCAAAATGAAAACAGGCATTCCGACACGGAACTCACGTTTCAAAATAGAATAACAGATTGTATCATTGTTTTTCAAAGAAACAAGTATGTGAACTTTGCATGTTTCCTAAATATCTCCAAATATTATGTTTTTTTATGCTTTAGTAGTCAAAAAAATTTATTCTTTCTACAGGTTATCTTAAGGTATTTTCCATTGTTTTAATTTTAGTGTTAGTATAACATTATAATACCATGCATATTTTTACTTTTTTATTATTTAAATAAGAAACCAATCCAATGTATAGTTGACATTTAAGGCTTAATGCTGTAGAGAAGCAATAAAAGCTTTTCAGTTTCAGTGTTTTCAGCTTGTTTATTTTCATATAAAAATATGGCATGCAGTTTCTTTAAACAATAGTATAAACATCACTGAATGTAAATTGTGATAACTGTAATTAATAATCGCAATTACAATTTCAAGGGAATAATCGACAATTATGATATAAGTCATAATCGCGCAGCCCCACCTGCAAGAACTGTTTTTATTTTTAAATATACTTTTAAAATTTGAAGTACACTAAAAGTGCACATTCAATAGAATTAAGTGCACTTCTTTTCACAAGGGCAGAGATATCTATAGATGTATTACCTGCCCGCTGCAGCTGCCTCAGTGCTGGCCGCGTCTACAGGCATACATGAGGACTCAATCACGACTGTGCCATTCTTCCCGTAACAGAAACCACAATCTGGATTCAACATGCAGGATTCACAGAGCCTTCAGTGTACAGACAGAAACAAACTGCAGTCACACTTGTGCACTAGATTTATATATGTCAAGTAGCACATCCAAGATCCAGAGTTTATGGAGCGCAATTGTCAGACTCCTGAAGTAAAAATCCCATTCATTTTTCCACAGAGAGATTGATTTTAATAAACAGTTACATATAAACCTTTCAAATCACAGCTCTGAGATTGTTAAAGAGATAGTTCACACCAATATGAAAATTCTGTCATTATTATGTCATTATTCACCCTATGACTTCGTAAACAATGACAACATTTTCCTTTTTGGGTGGAATATCCCTTTAAGCGATGATATAAGCTTCTGTAAAAGCCACAAGTAAGTGTGATTTAAACATGTTTACAAAACTGATTAACAGTGTAACTCCCGCTAAATAACTACACTACCCATAATCCTGAAAAGAGCTCCACCAATCAGAGAAGTCGTTGTCACCACAGGAACGAGAAAGCGCCAGAAGAGCTCAGCGGCGTATTCCCACTCAGAAGAAGTATTGTAGATGATTTAATCGAGTCTCTTACACTCTCAAACTACTTTTATATTTGTATATACTTGAATATTCTGAAGTTATCTTCAAATATATTGTATGGTATTTTCATTGTCTTTTTCATTTCCATAGTCCTTATTCTGGTAAAATCCATAGGTCGATCTAGTCTACTAAAAGGCACAACTCACCCATATGTAATGCAGGTGGAGTTGTGGAGGGAGGGGTCATTGGGGTGAAAGGTCACGGGTGGAGAGGCCTGAGCCGAGAGCAGGAAACCCGCAGCGAGAACCATCAGACTTACAGCAGTACCTGAGTCATGCACAGCACACCGGCATTACAACACTACATACTTCAATCTGTCAGTGAGAACCCGTGTTCACGGCTGTGTCTGAATCATCACCTAGTATACTGCCCAGAGTCAGCTTCCTGCGGCCCACCCTATCCACGAGCCACACGCCTACTAGAGTAAACAGGAAGTTGGTGAAGGCTGTGGCAGCAGCCAGCCAGATGGCCATCTGATCATCCTGTACTCCAGACATCTGCAGTATGGTGGCGCTGTAGTACCTGCAGCGTTCAGAGAGATCATTTGATTCCCTTAAAATAGACAGCACTGTTACAACATTAGTAAGTGGAGTCCTAGGTAATGTTCAAAATTGAATGCTACCACACTAATAAAGCTCTTTCCACAGTGCGCAGTATATATAATGTAGACAGTATGCACACTACTTTTGAAAGTTTACAATGTTCTACATTATTTCACATACTATGGAGGCTTGCAACTTTTTATCTCATAATTCGGACTTTTTTTCTCAGAATTGTGGATTAATATCTTGGAATTGAAAGTTATAAACTTATAATTATAAGTTCACATTTCACAATTGTGTGTGTGTGTGTGTGTGTGCGCGCGTGTGTTTTTAAGGTGAAGTAGAGGTAATTTTTTAAGGTAAAGTTAATTCTGACTTTTTTCTCGCAATTCTGACAACTGTGATAAAAAAGTCAGAATTGTAAGATAAAAAGTTTACACCTCGTACTTTTGTTTTTGTTTCCCCCACTGAATAAAAACATTCTCACAATTCTGACCTTTTTCTCGCAATTCTGACTTTTTTTTTTTGAGAATTGCGAGAAAAAAGTCAGAATTATAAAATAAAAAGTTGCATTTCAATTCTGAAATATACTGTAGCCTTAAATTACGATAATGCAAGTACGATAACGACAACAATAGCGTTAACTAGGGATGCACTGATTGGATTTGTTTTGGCCGATACTTGTACCAATTTTAACAAACAACTATTGTTCAATTAAGATACCGATATATGTCACTTGCTCACTTATTTAACTTTTTTGATCATGCTTTACGTTAGCAAAGTTCAAAAATGCATGCATTAAGGTAATCTAGCTAGTTTACTGCTGATGGCAATAAATTGATTAAAAAAAAAAAACATTGATAAATACTGACGGACGATACATTGGTGCATCACGGCTATAACAATAACGCCACAGAGGAACGACAGCTTTGGAATCACTTTCAGAACAATTTTTCTAACTGATGAATGATAAAAATATTGACAGCCAATCAGAATCCACCTCACTTTAAAGGGCTTAAGTATTTAAAACGGCAAACAGCGCACATGACAGCGCACGCTTATAATAAACAGAACATTATCGTGTGGTGTTGTGTACGCTAATATACTTATCGTTACAGTTATTTTTCTTAGTGTGACCAGGCCTTAGTCATATTACAGGGAGTCATATGGATAAAGTGTTGATAAAGTCAAATGTGTTCTAGTGACTTACATGACCGTATTGATTCCTGAGAGCTGCTGGAACATCTGTAGGCCACAACCCACGATCAGAGCACGCCGTGTTGGAGCGAACGTCAGGATACGCCACAACACTGGACCCTCTGGAAGATAAGCAGTCCATCCATCCATCAATGAAAATTATAGACAAGAGTTTACACATTTTTGACAAATTAATTTCTAGTTATTTTATGATTACTTGATTAGGTTTTTTCAAATAATTTTGATTCTGGTTCACTAATGACAAATTTCCTTACAATTAAAGCATAACTCTAACTTCAGGTTCAACTTCTTGTTTTTTTTTTTAGGATGAATCACTTCATTGTATTCCTCATTTATAAGTCACTTGGATAAGCCTCTTCTAAATGAATATACATTTATATGTACATGATTCACTCAAGCTGATTCAAAAGAATGATTCACTGACAAATCTGATATCACTATGGCCTGGAAAACACAATTTCAGAAATGTAAGATATTACCAGGTTTTCCGTGATGCTGGAAACCCTGAACTCAGCACCGTGTGTGTGTTGTGACGTCTGCATGATCTCACCTCCAGCATCAATCTTCTCCTCCTCAATGCTGCTCCGTATGCGCTCATACTCTTCATCCACATTTACACCGCCACGGATCCGACTGAGCACCAGCCGAGCATTCTGGGTATCTCCTTTCTGCAGGAGCCAGCGAGGACTCTCCGGGAGGAAGAGGAACCCCAGGAACTGCAGCGCAGCAGGAACAACTGACAAACCCAACATATACCTATACACAAACACAAAAATAATTCAAAAATGATTGCAAAAACCAGGTCCTTATGAAGCACATTTGTACCTCATTTTTATCTCACATTCTCTACTTCTCCTGCACAATGTCTGAATATGTCTATTTTTAATAATATTTGTAGTTTTATATAAATGTTTTTATACATATTTAGGTACAAGTAATATGTATGTAATATATTTATATTGTTATATGGTGGTTGCCAGGGTATTGTTATGCAGTAGCTGAGGTGTTCTGACAGTATTTGTTGTTTTATGTAATTATTTTATACATACATATATATATATATATATATATATATATATATAAAACGCACCAGTGTTTTTATTGTTAACTAAAACTAAATATATTAAAGTTTGCTTTTGTTCATTGAGCAATAAACTGGAAATAAAATAAAACTAAAAAAATTGAATAAAATAAACAGAAATAGATGAAAATCAATCAGATGAAAACTTAAACGAAAATTAGAAATGATGCTTTGGCAACTAACTGAAATAAAATAACTTTAAGTTGAAGTAATAAAATTACTAAACTTGATATAAAAATAATAAAAAATGACAAAAGCACAAAACAAAATTACTAAAATTTAAACTAAAAATAAAATGAAAACTGAATATAAAAGCTAATTCAAAATATCAATAAATTCTATGATAGTATTTAAATAAGACTAAAATAACACCGTAACATCTCTCCCCAAGCGGCATGAGCCACTGGATTCATTTTTGTATATTTTGTATTAGTATTGACTACTTATTAAATCTAATTTGCATTTTTTTTTTTAAATAAATTATTAATTTATTTGTATTAAATGATTTTTAAGTTTAATTATTAAAACTTTATTTATTTTGTTTTTATTGGGTTGCAGCAAAAATATACCAGTAGCACAAAAAAATCTGAAAAAGAAGATTGATAATGTTTTATTAAAACAGATTTAAGAGGTAAAACTTCCGTTTTTCCTCACCTCCAGCCGTCATGGGGCAGGTAGCTAAAGACCCCATCCACCACGCTAGCTACGAACTGGCCACCGGTGATAAACAGGGTGTTAATGGTGACCAGCTGACCTCGGAGTTCAGAAGGTGAAACCTCAGCGATGTAGACTGGCACGGTCATAGATGCAATTCCTAACACACAGGACATAAAAAAACGATAAGGCACACAAACTGAATTCAAACAGTTTTACATACACTGTATATGACTTACCTATCCCGAGCCCAACCGTAAGCCTTCCACACAGAAGAACCTCTTTGTTGTGTGCGACGCTCAGGATGATTCCTCCAGCAGAGAAGATGAAGCTAGCGAGCAGTATGCAGATTCTCCGGCCGTAAAGTCCGTTGAGATACCCTCCAGCCAGAGAGGAAACGGCCGCGGCACCAACAGTGATGGACACCAGCAGCTCCTGCCACAGAGAGCTGAGGTTCATCTCCCTCTTGAGCAGGAGCATGGCTCCAGACACCACTCCTGTGTCATAGCCAAACAGGAATCCACCCAGAGCCGAGAAAAAAGCCAAGGTGTAGACAAAACATGGAGAGCCGTGCTGGACTGAGCCGATCTGATGTGTGGACGTGGGCGAGTCATGTTCTTGGTTGTTGGCCTGGACATCATATGGCGTCTTTATCAAGCTCCTCTCGTCCTCAACAAATCTCCTGTCTCCTATCAGCTCCTCCATTCTCTGCAGCTTATGCACATTGTCTCCTAAATCACAAAGGAAACACCTTGAGATCATCACATGATCAACATTAACAAAAGCCATATAACCCAACCCAGCATGACCACGTTGGCAATATTGCACACTTCAAACCATCACAGTGAAACATCTGCAAATCTTTCAACACATAGACTTTTATGAGTGGTTTGTTTATAACACATTCACTGTACAGCAAACTTAATCTGATTTTGTGGAAAATATCATACAAGCACTAGGTTCATTTAACAATACTGTACACATTCTACAAGCAGTGATTCGCGAGCGAATTGTTCTTCTGAATCGGTTCTCTATAATGACTCAGTTGAACCGATTCGCATTTTTGTTTGTGACTGTGAATCACTCGTTTGGCATTATTTATACAACGCATTTTACCATAACGTGGTGGAATACAGTGTATTATAACACATAGACACACGCTTAAGTGCCACACGGCGGATGTCTGTGAACTGAGTACAATGAATCAGTGAATCAATTTCGGATTCGGTTCGTTGAAGAGAGCCATTCGAACGAACCGATTTGCCGAAATGAATGAGACTTTTCGGGTCTACAGCACAAATCCCACAATATATAAAAGAGGCTCTACGACGCAAGCTAGCGAAATCGCCTCATTTTTAGTGTCGTACAGTGTAAAATGTTGCATCGACTGTTAACGCAGCGATATCTCGGGCTTGTATTTATGCATGCATTATAGCTACATCAAAAAAGTGTCGCGAAATACATTTTACGTTTAGATGAATGCTTTTGAAAGCTTATTTTTATATTCATATTCTTATAATATTGATTCATAAAACATGAAAATGCACAACTTCCTCTATGTACACAGACAACTACTGTAGCAATAGCTAACGCGTTTTAAAAATAAATAATATACGTGTCTCGTTACATACATATGCATGTGAGTAGCTTCAAATTGGTATATTTTCGTTCTCCTTTTGTAACCTACCAGCAAGACGCTTTTCTCGGTGTCTTTGCTTTGAGGGACTCGATCGTCCGTCCTTCTCTTCTTGCTTTCACTCTGTTGTGCTCGAACAGGAAGTTTGTGAATTGTTGCAGTCATATGATTCATAACGCAGCGCCGATCTACAGCCGCGAGCATGACCGAGATTTCTTCTTTTCACCGCCGAGAATGAAATCAGGAACTAAAGCCTAGTCACACAAATCTTTACTATCATAACTCATGTTCTGCTTTGCATAAACATGGCTACAGAAGAGCTCGCGCGCTGTGAAACAGATGATGACCTGCTGCAGCAACATTGTGTCCACATGATCAGTGAGTCTCAGAAGCTGGTTTAAACTTCTGTTTGATGCCATATAGTAGAAGAGCATGGCTGATAAAGAGGAGCTAGGGATCAGGCTGAAGAAGCTGCTGGTGAGGTTGAACCTTCAAGAGGGGAAGCAGATGGGCACCATGGTCCAGATTATGCAAGACCTCCTGTTCCTGTCCCATACGGATCACTGTGGTGAGTTATGACCACTGAAAGAGGAAATGTGTTAACATTTCTGATGCATGTCTTAATATTTTCATTGACAGCTATGCAAACATTATAGACCCCCCCTCTGTCTGCTTTTTCCAGTGGGACATCTGCTCAGATATTTTTAGACTTGTGTTCTTCTTTTGTCCTGCAGTTGAGCTGTTTGCCGATCAAAACGTCCATATGCCTCTGATGCTGGTGTTGTCATCACATTTCAACAACAAAGTCCAACAGGTAGTCATCTTTTATTTCGCAAATGCTTAATAGTTCATCTGAAATTCCAACATTCTGTCATCATTTGAATGCCCTCTCATGGTGTTCCAAACCATATGACTTTCTTTATACTGTGGAATGGAAAAGGGAGATATTTAGAATAATTTTCATGCTGCTCGTTTCCATATAATGGAAGTGAATAGGGACTGAGACTATCAATCTCAAAATTATAAAAAAGCACCTTTGAAACAACATAAAGGTCACGTCATTTGCACAGTTCGTGTGTTCATGTTTTTTCCAAGTTTTCGGTCATTTTGAATTTAAGTCATAATTTGTTGAAAATCCCATTTGTGCTTGGGCACACTCTTAAAAATAAAGGGTTTCATAACAGTGCCATAAAAGTATTTTTAGTTCCGCAAACAAACTTTAAGTGAACAGTTTTTAAAAGAACCATTTTTTATTCTTAGTGTGAAGAACATTTAAAATCATCATAAAAATCTAAAGAACTTTGTTTTTATGAAAAACATTTTTTGTGCAATAGAAAGGTTCTATGGATGTTAAATGATCTTAATGGAAGCATAGATGCCATTACATGGTTTCATTTTAAGAGTGCATGTTCAAATGTGAAAAATCATCTTTGAAATCAATGATAATTATTTGTTCTAAATTATTAAAATAAAAATTAGATTTAAATATATGATTAAAAATAATATATACAAATATAATATAAAAATAATATATTTTATATTATTCAATATATATATATATATATATATACAGTATATATAATTATATCATTTATTTTTTATTGTTACTTGTAAAATCTTTTCTGCTGTAAATTTAATTCCAGTGCTTTATTGACTAAGAAAAGTGATTTAGGCTCCAGTAAAAGGTTTTTATTAAGAGTGATATACTGTTCTCATCACAGGTAGGCTGGTCTCTGCTGTGTCGTCTGATGGAGATCTGTCCCACCACTCTGGACAGTCTGGCCAACCCGGATGAATATGAGTTTACTGAGGTGCACAAGTAAGTCTCATTGAGTTCTTTTTATGAGCTTGTATGGGCTCCTGTTTATATAGTATAGTACCTTGTACTATTGTATATTGTATAGTATATACTGTATACTGGTTAAGATTAAAAGTGTTTGACTAGGAGGATTGATGCATACAGGAAATAATATATACTATTGTTATTATAAATATTATAGAAATCCATGTGAAATGCCAATAGTAAAGATGTAGGCACAACACAATGCAAGGATAATGGCAGCTAGGGCAGCGAATGGTGGATCTGAGTTTGACAGGTGCTAGTAAACTATAAAGATGTCAGTGGAAGAAAGGCATAATGTATATAAAGACAAAGTGGAAAGTAAAATAACTAGGAAGGCTTAGAGGCGCCATTTAATAAAATATCTTTCATCCGCAACTGGATTTAGCTGTGTTTGGCACCGCAAATAGTTTAGTAGAAATAATTTATAATTGAACAGGGAACCATATGTGGTGTGGTGATATGTGACTGAAAAAATCTTACAGTATTTGTAGATCTGGTTAGAACTTTAGAAAGAAGAAAGCTGCAGTGTAGTGTAATTATGAATGCACTGGGGCATCCCAGCCAAAAGTATATTGTAGTAAATCAAGTCTCAAAGTTGAATGAATGCGTGAACCTACTGTTCTGCTTGAAAACAATGTTATGTAACTTAAATATTTCTGAGGAGGAAGAATGTAGAGCTGATCATATCACCTAAAGCAGGGGTGGGCAAACTTGGCCCTTCCAGGTCACTTTCCTTCAGAGTTTAGCTCCAACTCTAATCAAACACACCTGAACCAGCTAATCATTGTCTTCAAGACTACTAGAAAGCTACAGGCAGGTGAGTTTTATCAGGGTTGGATCAAATCTCTGCAGGAAAGTGGCCTGGAAGGGCCAAGTTTGCCCATCACTGACCTAAAGGGAGCATGTACAAGGAAACAAGGGCTTAGGACCGAACCCTGTGGCATGCCATAGTATTAAATGGCAGGGGTTTTCAATTAAAATTACAAGAGGTCCTGTTTCCTTCCTTCCCAGCAGAGGTCCGAACAATACTTTTTGGAATATTTATACATTTCCACAGTTGCAGTACTTTGTTAAAAAAAAGGAAAAACAAGCATTCTAAATCTTAAATTATCGTCTTTTTTATTTTAGTTAGGTTATAACGTCATGTTGTCTGAGATACTGCAACTGATTTTTATTTGTCCATGTTCAGCAGGTTTATGCAAGTGTTTGTATGTTTGTTCATAGGCAGATTCTTAAGGTGCTTTCAATGTATCGTAAAGATTCCAAGATGATGATGGTGGGCCTGAGAACTCTGGCTCTCCTACTGAAGTCAGGTAAGACTTGCTTTTACATAATGTTTATATGTACTGATTATACAATCATTATGGTGCATTGGGTCCGAAAGCATTTTTCCAATTCATTTAATCTCTTTAGGGATTTAAATAAAAACGTTCCTTCATTAAAATTTGAACCAAACAGTAAACTACTCATTGCAATAAGCACTGCTGTAACAACGTTTGTAGGTCAGGAAGAAGGAGGCGGGAACCGGCGAACACTTAAACAAAACTTTAATAATAAAATAAACACAAAACAGCACGACAGCCCCTCGCGGACGACTATCGCACACAAACAGAACCAAAACACAAAATAAAATCCAGGCCTGGTCCTCTCTCGTCCAACACTGTCGTCACTCCTCCTTTTATCCTTCCGGAGCTCCTCCGTGGGACTTGAGACCGGTGAGTGGTGCAGGTGTTGTGCATTAGCATTTACTCCACCGGCCTCGCTCCGTTCCCACGGCTCTTGGCCCCGCCCCTCTCGTCACAACTGCAAATGACATAATCAATTAAGAAATGACAGTAGGCTACATTATACAAATATGGAGATCGAGAAAACATCTCATACATGCAGTTCTTATTATGAATAGTCCACATACCCCTTACGCAAACATAATCATGATGATGGTTAGATATAGGCATGTGTCATTTCACTTGCTTTCCTGAAGTGAGAATAATGTTTGGTGTTTGTGGATCAGATGTGATTGTGGTGCAGGTTCTGGACGAGGAAGAGGTGGACGTGTTTTTCTTGGTTCTGGAAGCCATGAGGTCATTTCATGACAAAGAAGAGGTTCAGCTACAGGGCTGTGCTGCTTTACAACTACTTCTGCAAACAGGTAACACTGCTTTGTTACCTTTTGAGTATGTACAAAAGTAATATAGGGCCCTATGATTTCCACAGTGAGGAAAACATGGACGAATTTCACAGTTTTGTCTACTGGTTTGGCTTAACTTGAAGAAATTAGAAAATAAATATATTACTGTTGGACAGCAGAATTTACTTCTCAATGTCATAATAAGATTGTTAATTTCTGTCTAATTAACCTGCTTGATTGTCAGTTTCTGATGCTCATCTGGTGGAGTTCAATGAGAACAAGGACCATGAGGTGGTGTTGGATGCGCTCAGGCGGTTCATGGACAGTGAGAATGTGGTACTGCAAGCTCTGAGGGTCCTCATACCGCTGGCTGCTCCAGGTATAACACACCTACCGCCAACTAGATTCAACTATATTATTAAACTATATTATTACAAGCACTATTAAATAAGCCTCTCTTTCTTGAGTCTAGCCAGCAATATTGAGATTCTGATGTCCAAACCCATTAAATGCTACAGTCTGCTGTGTCAGGCCATGGACATGTGGCTCGACTCGGAGGCCATACAGGAGGCTGGATGCTGTCTGTTACGGAAATTTACTTCAGGTGAGCCCAGGTCAAAGGTCATGATGAAATGATGCTGTTCTCATAACTTTTAGAAAGTGGTTTATTTTTGAGTCATGTTATGTTTGTTTGCCATTTAACAGAGAGTTACTATAATATACTGGTGCTGAATGGTGTCCATAAGGTGGTGGTGAAAGCATGTGTCGCTTATCCTAAGAATGCCACAGTGCAGACCACTGGCCTTTCCTGCCTGAGCGCGCTCGGTGAGTCAATATGAACATGAAAATGAACATGATAGTACTCTATGTGTTTAGAACCTGGCTCTCCACTGGATCCCTGAGAGCCCATATTTAAGGTGGATCAATAGGGTGCTTTAAAAAAATTTTTTTTTATGATTGTTATTTGTCAGGCATACATTTTGCATTTTTGGACATGACTGACAGTGTTACCTGGCTATTTTAAGTGACCAGTCTACGTCCATTTTGACTCCCTCATTTACATATGAAATTTTAATCATGCCACAAACAAACCCAAAAAGGCCTTCTGCTGATGTTGGCAATGTTTTGCTTGAAAAAATCAGAGTGGCTGGGCAAAAGTGCTCATTCTGTAGAGTAAACTTGAGGTAATTTAGATAGAGTGACTAAAAAAAAAGCACTTTTTGAAAGAAGTCCCTTGTGTTCGCCAAGGCTGCATTCGTTTGGTCCTTTATACAAATAAAAATACAGTAAAACAGTAATATTGTGAAATATTATTACAATTTAAAATAATTGTTCTATTTCAACCATTTTTAAAATGTCATTTATTCCTGTGATCAAAAATTCAGGTTGATCATAAATTCAGCATCATTACTCCAGTCTTCAGTGTCACATGATCCTTCAGAAATCATTCTAATATGCTGATTTGCTGCTCGAGAAACATTTCTGATTATTAAGAAATAATATTTTTTGTGGTACACTACCATTCAAAAGTTTGGGGTAAGATTAAAAAAGAAAGAAAGAAGAAAATAATATTTTTATTTAGTAAGGATGCATCAAATTGATCAAAAGGCACAGTAAAGAAAAACATCTCTTAATCAGTGCTGTTCTTATAAACTTTCTATTCATCAAAAAATCCTAACACAGTTTCCTCAAAAATATTGATCAGCAAAAACTGTTTTCAACATTGATAATAATAATAATAACTATTATTAATAACTGAGCACCAATAATAATTGATAATAATTTATCAGCATATTAGAATGATTTCTGAAGAATCATGTGACACTGAAGACTGGAGTAATGATGCTGAAAATTCAGCTTTGATCACAGAAATAAAATACATTTTAAAATATATTACAATAGAAATTATTTTAAATTATGTTTTAAATATATTTAAAATATAAGTTATAAGTTATTTTAAACTGTAATATTATTTAACATTTTACAGTTCTTTCATCATCAAATAAATGGCTTGATGAGAATAAGAGATTGTTTCCCCCAAAACTTTTATTTTCTTCACTCTATCATAAATAACTTATTTCAAAAAACAAAAAACGAGATACCTTTCATATTTCACCCCCCCCCCCCAAAAAAAATTAACGAACCTGATTTGTGGCCGCTATGTCGTTTTTTTATTTTATTATTATTATTATTTTGCCTGCGTGTCATGTTCTGGGCTCTGTATTAATGCTTTTTTTTGTCTCTCAGCGGAGTGTATTGTACAGAATGAAGGGCTGGACAGAGAGTGCAACGAGGAGGACGAGGCGAAACAGAAAGTTCTGGTAAAGAAAGAAGCCACCCAAGAGGAGGAAATGCTTATCTGGAGAGAGGCCTGTTATACCGCTTTAGAGAGACATGCTGACAATGCCGCAGTGCAGGTGACACAGGACGTGTTTAAACCTGCAATACAGAAAAGATCTTATCATCTCATTCTTTTGCTTTTGCTATAGTGAATATGTAACTTTCTCTCTCTTGGTCCAATCAGGAAGCTGCATGTTGGGCTTTAAACAGCTTGCTGCTTCATTACAACTCCTTCAACCATGTGGAACTGGAAGGAAGGTTAGCATTCCTTCATATTCTGTGCTATGTAGCATATTTTGTCCGAAAGTCCTCTTATGATTAGAGATCGAGACTGATATTATTGAAATAAATAAATGACCTTAGTTATGATTGGCTAACCTCTGCATACTGGCGTAGTTAATACTGTCATCATCAGGCAGGCCATGTTGATGAATACTGATTATGTGATGATATTTAAATGTAGGCGGTCATATTTGAATGAGCTCAGGCTGTGATGTCGTAACTATTTAGATTTGGTTTGTTTCTGGCCCACAGGCCTCCCCTTCATTCTCTCATCATGGCTGCCATGCTTTTTCATTCATCCAGTGCGGAGGTTTTCCAAGCTGCTTCCTGTACACTACACACACTAATACAGTGCCACAGTAAGCCCAGCAGTTCACTTCTCTCCGGTCATAGATACATGCAACGAGACTGTGTTTTAAATGAAATAGTGTGAATATGAGTTACACAAAACAATGAAAAATTGACTAAGTCTTTTACAGAGATGTGTGGGTCCTTGAAAAAAAGAAGTGTGCACTTGTAGAGTAAATATAAAAAGTATGTTTTTAAAAATCTCTACTTGCAGATTTTTGTTTTTTAACACACAATAAGTAGACTTAAGAGCACTTTGTAATGTAGCTACATCTGAAATACTTATTTTAATAATCTTTTGCCATGCTTTAAAGAGGTAGCCTACACTTATTTTGATGTGTTGACTAACGTACAATTCTTGATTGTAATTTTAACTGTAGTTTATTATTTGATGTTAGTTAATACATTTTAAATGTGCAAAATAGCATATTCAGCATTAAAATCTGTGTAAATGCATTTATATGCATAAAGTTCATGTTAAGTTCAGCATTTACTAATACAAAAGTTGTATCTGTTAACATTAGTTAATGCAATGTGAACTAACATGAACACAAACTCTTTTATTAACTAACATTACCAAAGATTAATAAATGCAGTTAGTTCATGTTAGATCATGCATTAACTAATGTTAACAAATGAGACCTTATTGTAAAATGTTACTGATTTTAGTTTACCATAGTTAGTGCATTCTGCAATACACTTCAACCATATTTCATAAGACAATAAAATTGCATATGCATTTAAGTCTTACTTAATTGGGTCAAAAAAGCTCTCTAAAATTCAGCTAATTGCATTTAAAGGGGTGGTTCACTGTTTTTTTTTCTAGGCTTGATTGTGTTTATGGGGTGCAGTCTAGGCCTGGGAGATAAAACGGTATCGGTATTTATCGACGGTACACCCTCTTCGATAACGATATACAAAATGTTCGATATAGCGCACGATATAGGCACATGCTATGAGTGACGCAGACCGCACATACTGAAGCCTTATTGAATCACGCCAGTGAAAGACTGTTACAACAGATGCATCGAGCACGAGCTGGAGTGCCGTATGCAACGGCAGACCAGCCTTCAGGACATAATCAGAAACGGAGAAGTTGTGGCACATAAACTGTCTGGAGCTCCGTGCTGTACACCTAGTGCTCGAGTGCTTTCTGCCGGACATTCTCTACCGTCACGTTCTCATCAGGATGGACAGCATGACAGTGGTAGCGTTTATAAATCACCAAGGGGGCGTGAGCTTGCGGCTGCCACTGTGGCTGGCGAGAGACCTTCTGTGGGCAGATCGACACCTCCTCTGCATCCGGGCAGTACATGTTCCCGAAGGCTGTTCTGTTTCAAATATGTCATTTTTATGTGATAGTTTGTGAAAACAATAATCAAACCTGCTGGCCATGTAATGGTTTTCTGAACAACCATTTGTATGTAGGTCAGTTGGATTAAAACATTGAATGTATTAGAATGAATGACAACATAAGCAAATGAAAAACTTTCTAAACTGCAATGTGAAAAGTAGATTTTAAAGTTTAGGTCGAATGGTAGGTTTAAATGAAAGCAATTCCTAAATTGAACATGATTTGGTGTGGTGAAAAATTAGAGAAATATAGTAGCTCAATGTGTAGAAGATCTTGATTAGACTAAAACCGAAACCAAGCCATTCACACAGAATGCATATTCAGGGCATTTCTTAGACGGACAAATTATGATTGCTCACACAAGAGATGTATAGAAAGCCATGCAAAGTTAAAACAGTTTAAATTTTTAGAAAACACGTCACAAATTTGTGGAGGTTTATTCCTTTTCACTGCGTCTCTTATACTTTTAAATGCAATCTGCGTGATGGGTGATTTGGCTCTTTGTATTAAGCAATGCATAAATACATGATGCTGTTTTGTTCATAATTGTTTATGCAATTTAAAAAATTGTTTGATTTATATGAGTTAATTTAGATGTAATGCACATTTTTTTATAGACAGTTATTTCCTTGCGTTGACATCTTTATGTGCTGCATTATTTTGCTCATTGCGCCCTCCTGTGGCTTCGGGAGACAAGCCAAAAGTTTCCTTCAGACCTATTTAATCTGCATATAAAACATTAGAAATTAGATATTTGTTTAATTTTTATTGTGTTTGATTGTTAAAACAAAAAATATTTGTTGTTTGTCTCAATAAATTGGCATCGAGCACGAGCTGGAGTGCCGTATGCAACGGCAGACCAGCCTTCAGGACATAATCAGAAACGGAGAAGTTGTGGCACATAAACTGTCTGGAGCTCCGTGCTGTACACCTAGTGCTCGAGTGCTTTCTCCCGGACATTCTCCACCGTCACATTCTCATCAGGATGGACAGCATGACAGTGGTAGCATTTATAAATCACCGAGGGGGTGTGAGCTCGCGGCCGCTGCTGCTGGGCTGTGGTTCCCAGAACTGGTGGAGATGCTGATAGCCCTCCTCTCTCAAGCACAGTTAACGATATAGAATCTAAATCCAGAGTCATGGAGCCTTCATGTCTGGCCGCTCGACGGAGCTTGCCTGTAACAGATGCACTTCCTCAGCGCGTGTTGAACACTATCTCTGAGGCTAGGGCTCCTTCCACTAGACGTCTTTACGCACATAAATGGAGAGTTTTCACAAATTGGTGCGGGTCGCGGGGCGAAGACCCATTCAACTACCCAATACCAATAATTCTTGCCTTCCTTCAAGAGCAAAAAATAAATTAAAAAGTCAGTTCGAGCCCATACAATCAGCGAGCTTGCTTGCACTTTCTCTCAAGACAGCGCTCCTGCTCGCGCTGGCCTCTGTTAAGCGAGTTGGGGACCTGCAGGCGCTGTCAGTTGACGACTCGTGTATTGAATTCGGGCCAGGTGATTGCAGACTCACCTTGAAGCCTAGAAAAGGTTATGTGCCTAAAGTGCTTTTGACTCCATTTAAGGTGCAGGTTCTCAAGGCAGCAATTTTACTCGTGCTGACCTCTGTTAAGGAAGTTGGGGAAAGTGCTTTCGACTCCGTTTAAAGCACAGGTCATAACACTATCTGCTTTCCTCCCCGAAACACCGGCAAGGGCGGAAACGCTTAATACACTCTTGCTGTGCCCTGTACGTGCGTTTACATTGAGCACTCTAGACAGTTCCGCCTCTCAGAGCAGCTCTTTGTATGCTTTGGAGAGTGCACAAAAGGCCTGCCTGTGTCCAAGCAAAGGCTGTCACACTGGATCGTCGACGCAATTGCTTTGGCTTATGGCTTTAAGGGCGTGAAATGTCCTATAGGGGTTCGGGCCCACTCAACTCGCGTCCTCGTGGGCCTGGGCAAATGGCATATCTATTCAGGACATTTGCATGGCGGCAGGCTGGTCGTCACCCAACACTTTCGTGAGGTTTTATAACCTTGTTGTGTCGTCGCTTGCCTCACATGTGCTGTCAGTGCGAGCAGCGCACGTGCCTACTCAGCCTCAGTTATGATCTGAGCTGCTTGCCTCAGTGGTTTCGACTAGGTCGTATACACCCCCGTACTGACGTACCACTAATTCAATGCTGTCCCTATCAGCTTATCACATTGTTATGATATTTTTCATCACATCTTTTAGGACATGATCACCATCATACTCTGCTTATTTGAGCACCGGTACGGCCGTTGCATCATAACACATAATTTAATTGAAACTAAACAAACTTCAACTAATCTATATGTGATGGCGGCAGAGATGCTCCTATTGCCGTGTCACCTAGCTCAGGATCTTAGAATGCCAAGTTGCTTCAGTCAAGATTCTGAATAGATGACGTACAAGCGCTGCTTTATATAGAGTGGGAGCCCCTCATATTTCGCGCGCTTGAATGCCATTGGCCAGTTTCACTGGCGTGATTCAATAAGGCTTCAGTAGTATTTGGAGGAAAGAGTAATTCCCATAGCAATGTCTCGTTCCCTCATCTCAGAGAACCGAGGTTACGTGAGTAACCGAGAGTGTTTTCTCTTCCTCTTCTCTAAAGCAGCGCAGCATGGCCTCACCCCCTTTGCTGCCTTTTCCCGAGGGCGAGCCGTTTTTGTAGGCATTAAACTGCCAGAATTTTAAAAGACGATATCTCCGTTTGCATTGAACTTTCAACTTCGTAACTTTGCAGATATTGTTTCTGCTCAAACAGCAACATTACACACTAACTAACGTTAAAAAAGTGAAATCGCAATGAACCACCCCTTTAATATAAATTTGAATTATATTATTTCTTGCTTAATTGCAGTTAACATACATTGAAGTCTTTTTCACTAGGGATGTGTCTCAGTTTGTGTGTTTTTGTACTTCAGGTAGGATGAGGGCTCTGCTGCTTTCACATGGCATTCATGTCAACATTGTGCATCTGATGCAGAAACACGCAAACTCCAGCGCTGTGTGTGAAAGTGCCTGCAGACTGCTTTACACACTCTTCCAGGGAGCGTAAGCACACACGACTCCCACATATGTGATGTATATGACAGACAAAAACATACAGCTGGAATCATACTTTTATGTCACTCCAGGAGGGCCAGTCTAGATGACGGGACCCTGATGCTCGGTCAAATCCTGACTGCTCTGAAGACACATAACTTCATTCCTGAAGTTCAGCTGGAGGGTCTCAGAGCGAGTCTAGTTCTTCTCAGCCCAGGTAGATTGTCTGTCTGCTTCCTGTCTCTTGCTTTGTTTTGTTTTTTGGAATGAATCTGCAAGAGTTGTTTTTATTTCATTAATGGAATAGTTAAAAAAATTACATATTTACTCACCCTCATATTGTTCCACACTCGTGACTAAATGATGACAGAAAAGTTTTTTTTGGTGAACCACAGTGCCTCCATATATAATGTCTGACTCTTTGTCTTCTTGTGTGTGCAGACAGGAGTTTAAGAGAGCATGGCTCCTCGGTGGCGGATCCTGACACGGTGGCTGTTTCTCTGCGGGTGCTGAAGAACCAGTGTGTACTAGAGGGAGCTCACACTGTCTATCTAGAGGCACTTAATAGGGTAAATGGTGTATTTCTTACAAGCTAGATTAGTTCTGTAATTCAGCATGGACATTAATGCTAAAGGAAAACATAACCAAAATACATATTAAAGCTGAAGTGTGTGATTTCTGTTAGATGTTAAAATATTTTCTTCTATCTCAGCTTAATATGCAGAGACAACTTGCGTATCGCCACAAAATTATGATTTAAACATATTTACAGCTCAAAATGCATAAGGATTAAAGGGATAGTACATCAAAAATGAAAATTCTGTCATCATTTATTCACTTTCATGTCGTTGCACACCTTTTTTGAAGACTTTCGTTTATCTTTAAAACACAAACGACGATATGTTTAATGAAACCTGAGAGATTTCTGTCTCTCTGCTGAAAGTCCATTCCACCAATACGTCAATGCTTCAGAAAATTCACAAAGGCATTGTAAAAGTGATATGAATTGAGCAATTTAATCTGAGGCTTCTGAGGGGACACAATGACAGATTTAATTTAGGCTTTAATACACATAAACCGTGATCGACACACAGAACTCATCAGATATGGTAAACAGAAGCTCAGATATGCTTTCATGACCTGCTAGAACCAAGTACGGTTAAACTGCTGTTTATGGACTACTTTTACAGTGTCTTTAAACACTTTTTGAAGCATGAAAGTTTTGGTGAAATAGACTTTAAATAAAGAGACAGAAAATTAAACACATCTTCATTTCTGTTGATGAACGAAATGAACGGAAAACTGTAATGGGTTTGAAGCAACATGAGGATGAGTACCGTAACTGATGACATTATTTTGTGTATTTGGTGTAATGAAATGTGTTTATGCGGTTTAAGGTTCAAAAAACACATCATGTGGGGGCATGTTAGAACGAGCCGTTTTAGGTAAGCGTGGCTGACTCTTAACTTTTATAAAGAATATCTCTTTGGATTTGAGACTTTAGTCTTTGCAACTTTACAGATCTTCTTTATGCACCAAGAGCTTGTAACACTTCAAAGAGAAAGGAAAGATTGAAATCGCATCATATGACCCCCTTTAAGAAAATACATGACCTTCACTTCTCATTTTACACCCTCTCAAATGCCTCTCCTTATAGACTTCCATAGCAATTTCATTACTGTAAACATTTTTTTTTTTTTGGCTAATTTTCAGTGGAAGTCATCAATTTGCCTGAAATGCTGTCTATAGGCTTTAACTTGTACTGGACCTGTAACTTTGCTTTTAGGATAGAATTGGACTTTAATCAGGTGGTTTTAGTTTAAAATTTAAGTACAGAGTGCCTCGAGGGCAGTGCGCCAACATATAGCTCTGTTGCGCCTCAGGCTTCCTGAGTTCGAGTCCCATTTCACTTCCTGTCATCATACTGTCCTATCATAATAAAGGCGAAAAATGTCAAAAATATATATATTTTTTTTAAAAACTAAGTACTGTAAATGTGGTGGGTGTTTCATTTGTTATGTGTGTTTAGTTTATCAGTAGTGAGGAGATTCAGGAGTGTGGACTTGGTGTGCTCTCAGCGCTAGCTGACAGTTCTGGAGCGGTTGACCTCATGTGCCAGCAGGGGGCGATAGATACGGTTCTTCATACGCTGCAGATGTTTCCACAGGAACGTGGTGAGTCCATGAGATCTCCAGCCTCTGCTTCTAATCCCAGCCAGACTTTTGAATGCCGACATTTGGGCTGCTTATTCTGCCCAAAAACCACCCACTGTTCAGGAGTTCATGTAGAACGTGTTTCTGTGTTCCACTATGCTGCTTTTCCATAGTTGGTCTATGTAAACATGCGCTAAACTGACATGTTTGACCATTGCGCTCTTGTGTCACATATTGTGTGATGATATTTAATGTTTAATTTCATTTTAAAACTCACAAAGATTACTTGCGTATTGTATGATGTAGAATAAGTCGTGAAAATGTCTTGAACACAGACCGTATTTCAAGCGTTTAACCAAAAACCCATTCACTTCAGGATGATGGAACTGGAAGTGCTAAAAATTCGTTTTTTGAATTTTGGCTTACAAAAATATGTCATACCTGCAGCACACTATTGGGCATGTAAACATTTGAGCACAACTGTATATTAACTGAAAATCATCACCCTTTGTAGAAATTCACTACTGGGGTCTTAGTCTTCTGTTTCACCTCATCTCTAAGAAGAAGCTCTCTCGTATGATGGTGCCTGTACTGGCCTCAGTTTTGGTCAGCTCTGTACGGCAACACAAAGAGGACACAGTCATGCTTCTAAAGGTAGCTCAATACAGTTATTACCAGTTCATAGTCAAAAGGTTTGTTGTTTTTGATGTTTTTTTTGTTCCTAACAGTGTGTTTTGGTCATAAGGGTCTTCAGGCGGCGTGGAAGTTGTTGGACACCTGCTCGAGTGCCGCAGCGTGGCTGCAGAAAGAAGCCTTCGAGAAAGACATCTTCCAGATCCTGCGGGAAAAGACGGCAGACCAGCGCCGAGATCCAGTAAGAAAATGAAACCAAAAGTTCTTAAACAAGTCAGGAACCCCTGATAAACCCTACATTTTGTTCTGCTTCAGCTGCAGGGAATGAGTTGCCTGTGCCTGTCTAAGATGGTGGCGGACAGTGAGATCCTGTACACGCTGCTGGAGAGAGCGTGTGAGGACGGTGATGTGGACATGGCAGAATGTTTCATCCATCTGGGTGCTGACATCAACAAGAAAACAAAGAGCGATTCACTTATATATCAGGTGTGATATATAAACTTCAATTCCTTAAAGGGACAGTTCACCCAAAAATGATAATTCTGTCATTGATTACTCACCCTAATGTTGTTCCGATCCCGTAATGGTGTGTTCACACCTAACGCAAATTTAATTATTCGCACGAGTAGATTACATACAAAGTCAATGCAAAGATGCGAATAGAGGTGAATTTGCGGCAGATGACGCAAAATGCGCAACGCGTTTGCCGCAAACGCGCTATATTCGCCTCAATCGCGTCTTCTGCGCAAGTTGAAAAATTTCAACTCGAGCGGAAAATTCGCATAACGCATTGTTGCATAAGGGTAAGCCAATCAGCGCTGGAGGTGGTGCTCATCCAGGCACAGTTCCTGGAGAAGATGGTGAAATTCACAGTTTTGTGCACCGTGAACCCAGACACGTCGGCGTTTAGCTTTCCGGCGTATTTGGGACTTCCACAAAAACAGGTACAAAGCAGCGATCGTAGTGATGTGAAAAAACATCCCGTGAGTAATCAACCATGGTATCGCTGCTTTGTACTTGTTGTGGAAGTCCCTAAAATGCCGGAAAACGCAGACGTGTCTGGGTTCACAGCACCATACAGAGGCGCACACAACTCGGTGAATTTCACCATCTTCTCCAGACTGCTACAATAATGCCCTCCTCCATTTTCTGATACAACCAGACGTGTCAATAAGCTCTTCGCTGAACGCGTCAGGTGAATTTTCTGCTCGAGTTGAAATTTTTGAACTTGAGTGGAAGATGCTAATATCGTGTGTTCGCGGCAAAACGTGTCGAGCATTTCGCGTCGCCTGGTGCGAATTCGCCTCTATTCGTATCTTTGCATTGACTTTGTATGTAATCTACTCGCACGAATAATTAAATTCGCGTTTGGTGTGAATACACCATAAGACTTTCATTCATCCTCGGAACACAGTTGAAGATATTTTAAATTAAATCCGAGAGGTTTGTGTCCCTCCGTTGACAGCCTAAGCAACTTTCACTTCGAAGGCCCAGAAAGGTAGTGAAAACATCATGAAAGTTGTCCATGTTACTCCAGTGAAGAAAATCCTGAATATAGTCATTATTTTTGTTTTTTTGGCGCAGAAAAAACATTCCTGTCACTTAAGAAAATTACAGTTGAACAACTGGAGTAACACGGAGTACTTTCATGATGTTTTCACTACCTTTCTGTCAACAGAGGGACAGAAACCTCTCGGATTTGATTTAAAATATCTTCAGTTGTGTTCCGAGGATGAACGAAAGTTTTAGGGAACTGGAACGACATGAGGGTGAGTAATTAATGACAGAATTTTCATTTTTGGGTGAACTAACCCTTTAATTCTTAAAGGAATAGTTCACCCCAAAATGAAAATTAGCCCATAATTTGCTCAGCCATTCTAGATATGTATGCCTTTCTTCTTTCAGATGAACACAATCAGAGTGATATTAAATCATATCCTGGCTCCTTTCTTTCAGGAAAGCCTGACTAATATATAACTGGACTTTGGTTGTCATTCCTAGCTGTAAAGAACAGGTTGCTGTGTTTGTGCAGGTTTGTGATCGAGGGGCTCCTCTGGCTCTGCTGGAGCTGCTGGTTTCTGCAGGAGTTCATGAGCAGCAGTTACGTGGAGCTCTGAGCGTATGTGTCAGGAGGGGCGATGACCCTGCCATCACCCTCCTGCTCGGCCGTCTGGGGCTGGACCACGCCAACAACGCCCTGTGCCTCGGGAGCTTCCGCCTCAGACAAATGAAAGCGTCGTGGCTCAGCGCTCTGCTCTCTGAACGCAAAACTCAGTCTCCAGTCACCAAGAAGAACAGTGAGTCTGTTCACATGATCTGAGAGTTGTCACGTACATGTTCTGGGGCCATGACCACATTTACTTCAGTCTGGCTTTGTTTTCTCTATAACAATTTCAGAAAATTTCTTCAATAGAGATTACCCTGAACTAAAAAAGTTATGAGAATCTAAGAAAAAAAAAAAAAGATTAGAATATCAGAAAAAAGGTTAAAACTGTTTATTCTCTATCACACCTCAAAAGTAATGTAGTGTATATGACTAGCAAAGTATAGCATGCTTTTAAAAACAGTATTTATTATAAAAATAACATACTTTACATGAATATAATTAAGTATGAGCTGAATGTAATATTTTTGGATACTTAATTGCATATTAATGCAATAAAGTTAAAATATATTAAATTTATGTTAAGTTGGACTTAAGTACATTTTTATATGTAATTTCATAATTCTATTGTCTTTGAAATAAAGTGTACTGCCAAATGTACTGATAAGTATTAATAAATTAAAATATAATTTAATGTAATTTCTATTGAAACCTGTATGTCTTGTATTTAAACATTTATTTTTAATTACACATTTCTAATAATGAAGTTGCAATTTGGTACATAAAAATCTGTAACTTGAAATGTTGTATTGAAAAACACACTGGAGGTAAAATTCTAGTCAAGTACTTTACCTGTACTTTAGTATGTTAGTCAACACTAACTAATCAAAATAAGTGTACTTTAAAGAACAACAAAAGATTATTAAAACATAATGATTGAAAATGTACTTTAAAATAAAACTTTCTATTTGACATTATTACAAAGTGCACTTTTTAAAAGAGTGCAAAGGAAAAGTCACAATACTGTGCATACATCTTTTGCATTATTTTGCTTTATAAAAACGTTCACAGAAAGTGCCAGTTTAAGGAATTCAAGAAAATTTGATCCCCCCAATTTAAAATTTGCCAAGTTGAAATCACTTGTCACTTGATGGTTTCTAGTAAAACATATGGCATATATAACATCTTGGTTATTTTCAATACACTGATATAACTTTTTTTGCACTTTATACTCAGTATGTAGAGAATTTAACTCTACATTACTAAAATTAGCCTGACTGTTGTCGGTAAATCTTGTCCTTGTATTTTTAAGGTAAAGGTCAGCGTTTGGCCAGACAGTTCTTGTCACTCCAGAGGAACAAAGGGTTTGTGGGAGTTGGTAGATTACGGAGTGATGCCAGCACATCAGAATATTTCACAGATGAGGAAAGTGACGAATCACACATTTCCTTAGATGAAAGCTTGGTCTTCATGTTTCATAACATGGAGAGTGATGGTAAGATGGTTCTCACATACTGTAAATAAACAAGTCATTTCATTGGATGTGGGTCTTTTTTTGTTGCCTTTTCAATCTCGTTTTATGTTTTATTCACTTGTTAAATCTGTCTGTTTTTGTTTTAAATGTACAGGGCAGGGTTTCATGGAAAGCTCCACTCCTGGCGCTTTCCCTCTGGCCATAGACAAAGAGCCCATCCGTCTGCTCGACCTCTCAGGGAATGAGCTGGGCAGTCTGTCTTGTTTGATGGGTGCGAGCGCTCTCAAACAGCAGATTGAAAGCCTTCTTCGGCTTGATTTGAGCGGCAACAGTCTATCAGAGCTTCCCAGTGTTCTCTGTCAGGTGTGTGGAAACATTTTGTTATTAACATGAAACAGCACTCGAAACCCATTCGGTAATGTGCAGTCACAATGATTCTTTGAACATATTAGTTATTATCAGTTCTTGTATTATGAACTGAATCAGAACAAATTAAATTAGGTTAAGTTCCCTTATGGCCAAAGTATACATCGGTTTGTACATGCACTTGAGGGTCAGCGTACAGTGCATGTGAGTGTACACGTGACACAAATTTCGTCACTAGAATAATACATGCATACATACTGTACATACACCATGCGATTTTTGTAACCACGCATACTTTGTATGTGAAGGGCGCACATGCTCATTGACGTGGTTTTCCACTTATCAGTTGTTCCACAAGGTGGCAGCACTGGCCTGGGCCGTTGTTTCACGGTAGAAAACGAACTAAAGAGACGGAACATTGACAAGCGCTTGTGTGAGGGGGTGATGAGAGAGCCACAACTTTAGTGTAAACGAGTACAATGACATTTGTATCGGTCATTACTTCTGGAGAAAAACAGCGCAGACATTGGACAAAGATGAAGCTTTCTAGAGCGCATGTGTCGACCGTCTGCGTTCGCGCACAATATCAAATGGAGTATGCTTTGAAAGGCCCTTACTTTAAAACAATATACTTAAGTGTGAATTTAATGTAATGTTGATGGACACTTAATTGCATGTTAATTGTGATTACATAAAATTTATTATAGTTTAAATTTAGATTAAATGCAATTAGCTGAACTTCAGAGTGCTTTCTGACCCACTTAAGTAGGACTTGAGTACATCTTTAATTGCTATTTCATTAAAATTAATTATTTTGTCTTTGTAAAATGGTTAGTTTATTGGCGAATGTAACAACAAGGATTTATAGTCAACTGAAATATACTGTAATGTAAATTCTATTGAAACTTGTGTCATGTATTTAAATATATTTGTAATTCCACATTTTAAGTTGCAATTTAAAGTATGATTGAAGTACTTTTAAAGTATATTAACTTGTAATCAAATAACATTCTGTTGTTAAAAATATAATCAAGAGTATGTGGTTCAGTTGGTTAGTCAGTTACATCAAAACAAGTGTGCTTCCTTAAATCACAACAAAAGATTATCAAAACATGACTTAAAATGAGCAGTAAAACTGCACTAGAAAGAAACTGCACTTTTTACAAGTGTACTTAAGTGTTCATGCAGGTGGCCTTTTATATCATTAACATTATCTGGAATTACAGTTTTTTTTTAATCCTTTTAAGATTTGAAGTGCAGCACACGTGAACATTTAATCAAATTAAGTGTAACAAGTATACTTTTTTCACGAAGTAACTAACTTTGTAACTTGCATTGATTTACAGGATTATGGTGTTTTCTTTTCTTTTTTTGTACCAAATAAATACTTCTTTAATTAACTGTATAATCTAATTATATAGTATCTAGTAAATATCTAGTTATAGCTAGTAATCTAGTTATCAAAGTACATCTTGAATGTGTGTTTTGTTTGTTGGTTTGTCCGTTTTGTGTTTTTGATCGTTGATATGGATCATCATTTAATCTGGTGATTATTTCTTAACCATACTCAATACATATTTCCCAACAATTTATTAAAAGAGTTTTTGTGTGTGTGTGTGTGTGTGTTGTTTTTTTTGTAGCATTTAAGAGGTCTTACCCGTCTAGATCTTCAAGGTAACCAACTACAGTCACTTCCTGTGGAGCTCCTGGGTTTACCTGCACTGAGCACGCTCAATGTTTCTCGCAACTGCATTGGTCCTCTTCTGCTGCTGGACCCAACTGTGTGCAGTCCAGCCTTACGCCAGCTCAACTTGTCCTTCAACCAGATCACCGTCTTCCCCTTCCAGCTGGGGCAGGCCATGGACAGACTAGAGGAGCTCTCGCTGGAGGGGTAGATCATGAGATAGTAGTATTTCTAGAGCGCTGGTGTACTGTAATATCTTAAATGTATTCGTATAGTTTTCTTATTGGATATACGTAAGTTGAAAAAAGGTTGCATTCACAAATGGAGAGTAAATTATTGACAACAGATTTTTTTCTTCTTCCAGCAATCAGATATCAGCCCTGTCTCTTCCGCTCCGCCTGGCTGAATTGAAAGTTTTAGACATCAGTAAGAATCAAGTTAAAATAATTTCAGACAACTTCCTCACTGAATGTCTCAAGTTGGAAACTTTCATCGCTTCAGTTAACCAAATCAGTAAGTTTCCTCCTCTTTACTCTATTAAAAATATTTGTGTTTGTAATCTTTTATCAAAATATAATGACTTGAAACAACAACTTTCCTTTTTGGCTGACAGCAACTAACCTACATAGGCTGTTAATGTTAATGTTTGTCAGTAGGCAAATTGTTTTAGCCCAGTATTATTTTATTATTATTTATGTGCTATTTCAGTGTTTATTAATATTTTGAATTTGCTTTTATTTTAATATTTTCAGTTTTCTTTTTATTTCAGTTTTAATCATTTGTTTAGGTGTTTTTATTTTTTTATATTTATACATACTATATAGGGCTGCACGATAAATCGCATGTGATATTTAATGCGCATCTTATCAGTAAAGCCAGTTCTGTAATCAGCGGTAAATCTCCATCACCTGCGGGCTTTCACATTGAGCAGCATTAACTACACAGAGCCGTTGTT